GAAATTAAAAATCTCCTGGACACAGAGATGCAGCAAATCCTTTCACAATATTCCAGGGCTTCACTGACACTGTGTTCAGCAAGATACTGAAAGCTTTCAAAGTTGTCTTAAGAAAATGATTTTTTCCCACTCCCTAAAGCTCACCTTCTCGCTCTTGATCAGGTCTGGACTGTGATATTGACATCCCCAAAACTATCCAGATGGTGCGCAGGCAGCGTTCGGGCATGGTGCAGACGGAGGCACAGTACAAGTTTGTTTACATGGCTGTTCAGCAGTACATCGAGGCTGAGCAGAAGAGGTTGGAAGAAGAACAGGTGAGTTCCATGCAGCCTGGTTGGAAAAGCAAGGGCAGAACTCAGCCCACACCAAACAGCAATTCCACTCCCACCTTCTCCCTGGAAATCAAATACTGCCCTGAACACGTGGAAATAAACGCACACCCACTGCTCCTCTGCTGGCCTGTGGATCTTGTAAGGCTTTCTTCTGTGTCTGCTTTGGGTGGGGTTTTATTGTCTTTGCTTTCTCTTTCAGAGGAATAAAAGAAAAGAGCGAGACTACTTGAATATCGGCTACTCTCCTATGGAAAAAGGCAGAGCCAAAGGGCAGCCCCCTTCACCACGGGCCCAGCCTGTGTAAGCTGAATGTCCCTCTGCCAGGGCTAAGAACTTCTGCAGCAGTAGAGAGAACAGCTTGAGCAAAGGCCCCGCTATTTATCCTTTGCCAGCCTGCCTCTCCCATACATACATACGCATTAGTAACTGCAAAGACCTTGCTTTTACGCAGTGCTAAAGGGAAATCTGGATCCTTCGCTGGCATTATGAACCTTCCAACTCCTGCTGGATCTGGCCAGTTGGGATCTTCCCCGCTGGACTCTAGAAACGTTTGTGTCCTGTTGAAAATGCCCAACTTTGACAGTGCAGCTCTGAATGAATGAGGGCGGGGAGGATTGTGTGGGACTGAGCCAAGCAAGGCGAGGTCTACGTGGCTGGTACTGTTGGGTCCAGAGAGCTCCCATGAGTTCAGCTTTGGGTGTCAAACCTGCTTTAAAGGTACTTGGATATCTGGCCTTTGGAGCAGCTCTCTCCTTCCATTGGATTTTGGAAAAATCCAGAGAAATTTGGTATGTAGAGAAAGTAAGAGTGGGAAGTAGCAGGAGCTGTATCTGCTGATCCTGCAGAAGCTTTGCATCTATGAAAGGCTGACATTTGGAGGAAGGTTCAGGGCTCCATCCCCAAGCTGTATTTGAACCTAGGAGGGGTGGTCCAGCCAGAGGGAAAGAAAAGAGGGATTGAGCACAGCGGGTAACCCAATGTCGTCCTATCTACAAGGCTGGGGAGGGAAAAAGGGAGCTTGGCTGGGCCATTACCCGCTTCCCACTGGCCACCTGCCTCTGGGAAAAGATCCAGAGCCGTGAGGCTGTTCATAACAAGGCTTTGTTTCTTGACAGGCCTGACGATGAGTCAGCTTCCGTCTACGAGAACCTTAACATCAAAAACCCAAAGGTCTCAGGGATGAGTAATACAGGGCGATAAAGGAGCCGGAGGTGAGCTGTATGGAGGCTGTACAGGTAGGAATGCTTCCCTTGGTTAACTGAGCGTGTCACCGCAGCCTGTTTACATTGCATCGGCCCGGCTCCTCTTCAGCTCGGCTTACGCAGATCTCTGTGGCTCTGCCTGCGTCGGGGAAGGCAGCTGTGCTTTGATGAAATGTGGCAGAGCCTAAAGATGTGGCTGTGGCCAGCTGCTGGTGGGAGAACAGGGGGGGAATGGAGTAATGAGATCTCAACAGGGAAACACATTTACAACGCTACCAGTGAGGGGGGGAGATCTGCTTTTTGGACTGTTAATGTCAGCAAGCTGTCAGACTCGGAAAACAAGGCTGCTATGTATGCAAACAAGTCCGAGAGACTTCACACGCTGGGAGTGTCTCAGCTCTGTAATCTTATCAATGCACTTTTCTCCCAGTTTTAAACCATGCCCACCCTTCTTCCTTCTTGTTTTGGAATGCAGGATTTACAGTGTTTACGTCCACCCTTTCCAAGTTCTGCAATTGCGGACAATTTTTTTTGCCCGTCTTGCCTTCCCCCAGCACCTTGGATTCAGCGAGGAAGTAAGAAGCTGACTGTAAGAAGCAAACAGAGTCTGCGCCTAAGAACATGCCTTGACCTAACTTATTCATGAGAAGGATCTTCTCCCATTTTCCCCTGTATCAGTAGGTTGATATTTATGTGGAAGTGCCTCTGGACATTCATTAGGGCATCAAGGCTCAGTTTTAATATTTTTCTTTTTTTTTTTTTTAATTTAAGATTCTTATTTTTTACACACAAATTGTTAAAAGGAACAGAAATGACTATTCGCTTAGGAGCTTTCCCAGGGTTGCCCACCTAGGGCGTTAGTAAAATGTTAGTACACTTTAATGTTTTCATTAGGTCAATCATTTCTAAGCTAGAAGTGGTTTTAGACTAAATCCTGGAGTAACTTTGCTGCCTGTGAGGGTGAGAAACAGAGAGCACTGCCTGGACCCAGAGATTTGCACCTCTGTTGATTCTTCTTCTCACGCTTCCTTTTGGCTGTACCGGTTCTAGACTTCTATGCAACCCTGCCAAAGCACACCGAGCAATCCCTGCTGCTGTAGTACAGCAGATGCGTGTGTGTGTGCCCGAGAGTCTGCTAGCTGCTCTGCACGTGGGTTTCATAGCAGAATTGAGAGACAGAGGTGAGCATCTCCATCTTTGACTGTGCGGGTCTGAATGTTGAGCCAAGTGAAATCCCGCCTAGCTGATGGGTGCTGAAGAGTAGGAAAGCAGCTTTGACTGTGCGCCGTGCTTTTAGCCACCCCTAGCGAGTAACAGCCTAGGATACTAATCTGAGCTGAACTTTTTGAGCTGGGCCCCTCTAAGCTTGATGCAGCTCTGCCATT